TCAACATAAGGTTCTAGAGGAGAGACGAAAGGTCATTCAAAAATATTCAAGACAAAAGATGACGACATAGAATAAATGTTCACTGTTCCCTCCCACACTATAATAATTGTGAAATCCAACTAATGCAAGAAATTGAATAAATTATAATCTGTTGTTAGTTTAAACACTTTTGGAGTACCTAAATGTTGTGAAATTGACACGTGCAGGCAACTGGTTTACTTTCTGTTCTCTCTTTTTTTTTTACTTTACGGTTTTTTCAACAGCATACAGTTATTCTATCAGAGCATGTATCAAAAGTAGGTAAACAAATCTTCACTTTATAGACAAATAGGTAGAGTAACAATGTAAATACTGCAGGTTTAATTTCTAAGGCAAAAGTACAACTAAAACATGTCTCAAATAAAAATATGATGTTATTTTCTGTATTATACAGTTAAAATTAGGGCTAACACAAATCATGTATCCTTATTGCCTATTGCATTTTGGCCTTTCACTCCACTCGACAGGTCTAGGTTTATACCATTCTTTTTACCACCTTTCTTCTTTTCGATCTTGTTCTTGTGTTGGAAGCTGCGTTAACATCTGCAGATCAGTTGGAGGCCACAAGGCTCAACTTTTTTTCTTCTGCTCAAGTCAACCAGCGTTGTGGCAAACACTGTATAGAATGGGAACAATGAGAGTCCGATGTGACGCAGCCGATTCCCCCCCTCACACTCTGTCTCTCTTTCTCTGATCCCCCCGTGCCCCCACCTTAACTCAATGAAAGGAGCCATTGTCTTTGGCCTGGATTGAACAACTCACACAGTACTTTTCCTCTGAGGTCTTAAAAACTTTGCCTGCTTACATGGAGAGCGATTTGCTTTGCTCGCGCTTGTACAGTACTCACGTGCACTCAGGCGTCCATGCACACTCACGCTCCTGCACACAAATATGCACAAACCAAAACACAAAAATGTACACCACCACTCGAATAAACCCGTACTGACACATGAACATGCATAATGCGTGTGTGTCTGACAGCTCCGGGGTGCTCTGAAATCTCAGATTCCAGGCCCTCTTAGTGCACCGGCCTCCCAGCAGAGCCCCACCTCTCCCCACCTCGGCTGCCCTCCTTCTCTTTTTACAGAGTGCCCAACGCACTGAGACCTGCTCCGATCACTGACCATCACTCTTTCAGAACAGTCTCTTTTTGTTGCCGGTGACCAATCAGCACTGAGGAACTGTCTTTGCCCTCTGCTTTGTCTCTGGATGGGACATACAACCATGGAGCCAACCTAAGTGGCCCAGTTTGGAGAGGTTCGAGGTCACTTTCTGACAGAGAGTGCTGAACCAGCCGGACCCTGTAGCAATGGCTCAATTTCAAGAAAGAAAGGCGGCCACTCTGCCGTCCCGTTCCTGCCCGAGTGTCCCCGGGACTGGCCGACTGCAGAGACGCATGTGTTTGGATGACTTCACCTTTGACAGCTTTGAGCTGCTTTACAGTGGAGCTGTGGAAAAGATCAAAAGCCACAAAAGTAACCTCAACCTCAGTAAGTTCCCTGCTTCCAGCTTCAAAATCAGGAATGTATGATCAGGTTCGACCTAACTACATTTGACTGTAAACATAAATAAGATGGTAAAGCATATTTAGATTAGCCAACCCTGTTTTGCAACCACCTTGCTGTATGCTACAGTGTATACAGAGGCGGTACAGTAGACTTTGTTGTTTGATTAACCCAAGGGAAACCAAGGTATTTGATCATCTTCATTGAATAATCATTCAACATAAACGTATGTCAACTCATAAACCTCCGTCACTTTTAGTCTCCATTTTCCAGAGAACATCTATCCTACTGGGAATAATATTTGTCAACACAAATATGATCAACCTCAGCCATGGGTTTACCCATCTCTCTGTCCAACTAAAAATAGCAACTCGACGTCAGTGGTGAATCATGACCATAGAAACTGCAGTTCTCTCAGCTCAATGTTATGACCAGTGCAAAGTGCTTTGAGGAATTTAAGGACTTTATTTGAAGAGACATTTTTTTTATAAAAACATGTAATGTTGGTACTTTAATTTGATCCCAATTTACTTCCTTTATTTTGCGTTGATTTTACATTGTCATGCCATGTTATGAAGGAAGTTCCTAATATGACACTCGTTTGCTGCATGCTTCTACCACATCAGGCGCACCAAAGCCAATATTTCCTAATCCTTTGATCTGTTTTTTTCTGATTTTAGTAGCAAACATTTAAATAATCTAAGTACCATTTTTGCACAAAAGGTTTACCAGTTGACTGTATCAACTTCTACTTGTAGTAAAATTGTCATGCGCAGGCTCAATACGTTTTATTATTCAATTTTGTCTATATTTATTCAGACAAATGTAACTTTAACCCATTGCAATTTAATATTAGATCTAAAACCTCACCTTTCAGAATACAATACCCCGATAATCAGCTCCTGCTTCGGTTGCTTTCCGACCTTTCCTTGCAGATAATAATCTCTCTTATCAAATGTATGTGTTTTTATCATTTTCTTCTCAAAGATCACAGTTTGATGGAAAGCCTGCATGATGGAGAAGGTCAGCGCTATTAAAAGCAACCTCTCCTGGCATGGCATTTAGCTAATCCTGTGTCTGTGTTACTGACAAATGGCCTAGTTACTAGCCTTAATAATGGCTAAAGACACCCTGTAATATGGTAACCCAGGATAAAGATTTATATATAGATGATGGCAATCCAATTTTAGAAGCAGAACGGGCGTGTTGACAGCATTATTAATACGCTATCTGATGTAGATGGCCTCTGTGGAACAGGAACGATTGTACTCTATCCTTCTGTGTCTGACACACATAGCATATTGTGCCATGCTGTGCTGGATCACACTTGCGGCCCCACATCTCACACAGTAGAATGGACTCTCGGTATGAGGCATCTCTTTTTCCTGGTGTTGGGAAGGAATCGATCAGTGTGGAAGGAAGGAAACTAGGGAGAGGAAACAGGTGGACAAAGGGTTAAGGAGCTGTAGAGATTTGTATTCATAGAAACAACTGCACAATGTAAAGGGAAGGAGTTGCATACAGTATGGGGGCAGGAAATGGAGGGGAAGGGAGTGACAGTGTGTTAAAGTGAAAGAGGGTAAAAGGTGAACAAGATCAGGCGCTTTAAGGTATGGACACATGACAGAGAAATACTATACATTCTCAAAGTGTTAAGGATATTGTGGTTGTACTTAATTTAACAGATAGTATATCATCTGAACTGACTATTCTACTTTCACTTTTCTGAGAAATCATACACCCTCCATATCAAATCTGGTTTCCTGTAAACCATGTGATTACATTACATATTCATTTCATTCCATTTCCTTTAACTGCGGCTGAACAGCAAGATGCATTCAAGTACATTTGCTTGAAATAATCCAAACTATTGTTAGTGCCGTTGCATTTGTTGTGCTAAAACCATCAAAGTAGTGACATACTGTGTTCTTATTACTTTTATGCTAAGAAGTAATATAGTTTTGTCACAATACTTTGTTTAAGGGAAAGCTCAACATATGAATTCGTTTTTAAGTATCTTTGTCTGTTAAGTCATATTGAAAAGTGCCTTTGCTGTTAAGCGTTATGATCAGAACAGAGTTAAAAACCACCGTTCTAGTTTTGCCTACACTACCCAAGGTGCATTGCTGCTGCTACTCATTCGTGTAATAGGTTTACAGTTTGCTTTGGCTCAGGGCAGCCTAACCAACGCTAAGCCTCTTAGCAACCTTTGGCCTACCTCTCGCCAACTCTTACGCTGCACCCACTCTATGCAGACTTGTTTATATAAATACCATAAACACATTCATACGTTAGCAGATAGGGAGGCAGACACACCGAGCCTGTGGAGCGGGGAGGGAGAGAAGAATCATATTACATCGATGAAATAACAGTCATACTTTATTTTTATGGTTTCCCTCTTCAATGCAGAAAAGTTTCCAAAATGTGCATCACAGCTCTTACCAAAGCACAAATGCATAATCGGATTATGCAAGTGGATTACTGTATATTGGAGTCCACTATGTGTTCTCTCATTAAGAGCGCAGCATGTCAGTGCTTTGGCTGCAGGAGGTGCTGGCTATTAATGTTTTATTAGCATTAATGGGAGGAGATAATGAGGAGTGAGATATGAGATTAGGTGATGAGTAACTGGCAACTACGTTCTTGTAATATGAAGCCCCTACTCTCTCTGTCATGAAATGGTCCCTTGTTGAAGTGGGGGGGACAAAGTGAAAAACACTTTTGTTTGCTGGTTGTGCAAAACCCTGCTTTTATTATTCCCCCTTCAAAGGATGGTTGTTATGTTTAAGGTAGGAGGGATATTGATCTGTTTAGTGGTACTGCTCTGTTTTCAGGAGTTTTTTCATGGGGCAAAATGTACCATAAATCAGCAAGTGGTGCCTCAGCAGATGTGACACATGTCATTCTGTTGGGTTTTGACAAGGGTTTAATCTTTGCTTTCACTTTTTCTGCGCCTCACTCTGTGGCTACACAAATGTATGCGGGTATTCATTCATTTGTGCCTCTGCACGTCGTGTACACACTTTTATGGCATCGTCTCCTCCAATATTCATGTGTCCCTTTAGTCGAGGACAATACACTGAGAGGAAACACCGCTGATGTTGCACCCCCGGCTTAGAGAGCCCTGAAACCTGAAACCACTTAACGCTCGGAGCTGACAGACACGGAGGAAGAGTGGGGTGGACATTAAGGTGAAGGAGATCAATTAAGGGAGAGATGAAGACACAAGTAGATTCATTCATTAATACCACTTTAAAACAGCAGTTTTTCCCATATTTGTATTATATTTTATCATAAATTAGATTGTCTGTTGGTAGTTTATCAGAACTGCTCTAGATAAAGTTTGAATGACCTCCTTTCATGACCCTGAATGTGTGTGTGGAGTTTTCGCGGTTGCACGGTTTTCATCTAAGAAACAAAGTGTCATACTGATCTCCAGTGGTTTGTGTTTTCCAGAGGAGGAGCTGAGGAAGCTGCGGGAAGAGACCAATGTGGACTCTCTGCGGCAGGAGCTGGACAGAGAGCGGAGCAAGAGGATAGACCTGGAGCAGAAGATGAACGAGGTGCTGAAGACCAGGTGAGACAAACCCAGACAGCCACACAGTCACATGGGCGACAGAAGCTGAGCACGGGGAAGTAACCGCAGCGTCGCGTGCTTCAACGGAGACGGTTCCCATTTGCTTTGAATGGGGTGAAGTCACGCTTTGCCGAACTGCATTGTGGTTCCGTCGCACTTTACCTCCGTTGCTTGCTTCGAAAGTTGAGAAAAGTTCAACTTTTTAAGCGTCAACGGAAGCACCAGCCAATCAAATCATACGCCAGTACAAGCTCTAGCCAATCAAAACGTGTGCTTGTGTGTCCGGGGCGGGAGATTAATGTGATTGGTTTTGGTCGCACGCCAGACACGCCCACCGGCAAGCTTCAACGCGACGCTGCCGTGTGGACGTACAGTAATCGTGAGGGAGTCATGAGAAATGGGGAAACAGCACTTTGCCATACTTTCGACACAGTTTACCACAGGTCAAGTGGGATGGCACGTGTGTGTCAGTCCCATCAGCTCGGTCTGTGGGGAATTCCTCAAGGAGGTATGTGTGTTTGGACAAGAAGAAAAAACAAAAAGGAGTCATGCGTTGGTGTGTGTGTCTCTATGTTCACACTGTGACGCTGTTGCTATGCCTGCGTCAGGAAAAGCCTGAGCTTCTTGGCAACCAGTGAGCCAACCTTAAACCCAGTGTGAGTGTGTGTGTGTACGGCTCTGCGTGTGGGATCAGATGATGCTTCTGTGCCTGCCAATGGGAAATTCCACTGGTGCTCTCCAAGTGATTATCAGCACAGAAACATCATGAGTGCCTGAGTGTTAAGAATCCTGTTGGAGGTAAACTAACGCACCATGACATGGGAGTTTCTCCAGTTAACTCTTTGTCAGCAGGATCCAGTTTCTCTGGCTCCTATCCATGTGTTATTGAGCAAGGCACCTGAGATGAATGACCTACATAACAAACACTAGACTACAGGGATATCCTGCCTATGGTGTTGTCTGTAAACAATCTTCACTGCATCTTCTCAGGCACACATATGGGATACATTAGCAACTTTCTCTGATATTTCTTTTAATCCAAATGAGGGAAAAATGGATATGGAAGTAATTTAGTTTTCTATTTTTTTGTAGAAAACTGGTCAGTAGTACACTCTCTGCATTTATATATAGTTTATTTCAGAATTTATTTTGGTCATTGTGAAAGTACTATTCAATATATGAAGATAATCTAAAAATATATTTTTTTCTTGGAATAAATTCCCTTGTTAATAATTTTCACAGTGATGTTGCATTTACAGTATAAATAAACTCCATAGGAAACATTTAAAAAATGTAATATTTTAATCAATAATTCTCAAAAAATGCCTTATCTTACTAGAGAGAACAACAACAACGTTTTTATTTTTCGAGCGAGCATTTATTGCCCATTAGCATGACATATCACTACCATTAAACCATTAAAAGATAAAACATCAACAAGCTTGCTAAAGTCAATAAGCTCTTGGAATGTTTTTAATGTTTTTATTTCTTCTGCAACAACAATATATCTGTAGCAGTAAAACTGAAAGAGACACTCTTTAAAATGTTAATGCTTTCTTACTCTCAGTTTAGGTGCTTTTTTTCACTTTTAGCCCAAAAAGAGAGACTGAAAATGTTTCTCCTCATTCTGCCTCTATCCCCATATGTGTCAATCTCTTCCAGAGTCGTGGATTTATCCGATGCAGCAACTCCCCACTCAAACTGCTTGAGACATCCTCCAGTGGGCCTGCAGCTCTGACAATAGAGAAGTGAAACTAACACTCGACTAATCTTTCCTCCTCTCTTCCTCTCTCAGGCTGGAAGACTCTCCACCACAGCCTCCCCGGAAACAGCAGTCGCCCTCCAACAATGGAACAGGTACGACCCTGGGGCAGGTGGAGAGGGAGTGTGTGTGACAGAGAGAGTGGGAGTCCAGGGGGACTGACGGGAAATGAGTTGGGAAGGAAGACTTTGACATCTTAAAAGTGTGAGAGTAAATCATGAGGACTATTTGTGTGTGTGTGTGTGTGTGTGTGTGTGTGTGTGTGTGTGTGTGTGTGTGTGTGTGTGTGTGTGTGTGTGTGTGTGTGTGTGTGTGTGTGTGTGTGTGTGTGTGTGTGTGTGTGTGTGTGTGTGTGTGTGTGTGTGTGTGTGTGTGTGTGGTGTGTGTGTGTGTGTGTGTGTGTGTGTGTGTGTGTGTGTGTGTGTGTGTGTGTGTGTGTGTGTGTGGTGTGTGTGTGTGTGTGTGTGTGTGTGTGTGTGTGTGTGTGTGTGTGTGTGTGTGTGTGTGTGTGTGTGTGTGTGTGTGTGTGTGTGTGTGTGTGTGCGCCGGGGAGGTAGGGATGTGGGGTGTGCGTGCGCGTGCGCAGGGGAGGTAGGGATGTGGGATGTGTGCGCGCGCGCGCAGGGGAGGGTGGGATGTGTGCGGTGTACTGCTCGACAGGAAGTGAGTGGTGTCTGAAGTTTCTGCAGGTTATTGTAGTGTGGGTGCAGGAACAGAAATACACACCAACATGTTGATTTATGTTGTGCAATTAGTTGTACTTGGAACAATAAGCATTAAAAGGGGCCCTATTATGCGTATTCTGTGCATATACTGTGACAGGTTTACATGCTTTAATGTTCCAAAAGGTCTTTATTTTGCTCATACTTCCTGAGCTGCAGCACCTCTTTTCACCCTCTGTCTGAAACCACAGCCCAGTCTTATCTGATTGTTCAGCTGGCTGGCTTTGTTGTGATTGGTCAACCGCTCAGAGATGTCCCGCCTCTCAGTCTTTCACGTACAATGTGTTGGAGCGCTAGCCAACAGAAGCTTGAGTGTTACAGAGTGATGTCAATATGTTATGGAAGAAAATAAAGGACTCAAATGGAGGCGTTTCAGGCAGTGTGCGGGAGAGAAACTCCCTCTGGAGAGAACTCTGGGATTTTAGCCTTTGCAGACCATTTACATGCACTCAAATCTATATAACGCACTACAGGAAAGGGGAAACCCCCAAAAGCATAATAGGGCCCCTTTAACCAACTGCATTTATCAAAAACTATTCTACTAACTAGTAACTGATCCATACAGATATGCACGCCATGTGCCATAGGGATGTTTGTGTGTGTGTTTTAAAACACGTCAGTGAGGGAAGACGGAGCTCATTAATGCAGTATGAGTCAGATGGTATTTATGAAGAGTGTGTGTCTGTGCGGCTAATTTGGGAAATTGGGTTATGATTTTAGAACGCTTCATCTAGGGCGGACAGGCCTGTGCTCCAATGAATGTCAGGTGTGTTTGGACGTCAGTGTTTTTTTTTTAGGATGGATAAAGAGTGTGTCTGTGTCCTCCTTGGAATAACATGTTTTCTAATAAAACAGCAGGAAAAACCCTTGCTATAGCTTTCATTTGACCATAATGACAAGATCTTTTTTTGCACAGTGTGTGTCTATGCTCCCAGTGACACAGAGTACACAGCTTCCATTCCCACAGTTAATCACAGTCGCCTGGAGTAGCGGCACAGTACAATCACAGTCAATAAATGTATACTTAGCAGTTCCCCCAGAGCAGCTGTGGGTAGTGTGCACTGCTCAGGGCAAAACACACTTATTGTTGTAGAAAATAATATTAGAAAAAGTGTGCTCAAGGCAAAACAACACAGAGTTTAGAAAATGAATACACTTCTGTTCTCTCCACCAGACAAACAGCAGAAAGAGGTGTGGAGTTCGCGGCTGCAGAAGTGGGTGTACGAGCGCTTCGGGGTCTACATCGAGGACTTCCGCTTCCAGCCGGAAGAGAGCACGGTGGAGGCTGAGGAACCACTAAGTGCTAAAAGGTGGGTGAGAGCTGCAAGAGATCAGGAAGTGTCCGTCCTCAGGGTTGAATCTGCGTAAATGGGTTCGTCAGTTAGTTTAGATTTCTGTTCATTTATTTGTAGGAGCCGTCAACACTTTATTGTTTGCGATTAATCTGGAAACCTTAAAGCATTTAAAAAAAAAGTAACACATTGATCACATTACAAAGTTGGACCCTAACACCCCAACCTCCCAACCTATCTCCAGCGTTGATGTTTACCATGAATTGCCTTTACAGAGTAGAGGCAAAGAAAGCAGAGGAATTGGCACAAGCTACATGTATTGCATTGAGTGAAAACCACTGGACATCGCCGAGTCAACTACCTCCGTGTAACAGCACACCTGCACTTGTTAGCTTTAGGTGTGGTGAAAACGGAGGAAAGGCATTTAGCCGAATCGTGCGCCAGTTTCTTAAAGTTGCGCAGAAGTGGGAGATAGCAGAAAGGATCACTACCGTAGGAACAGAGTGCTCGAAGTATGATAGTGGCAGAGATGCCCTGAATTTTCCCTTGGGCATTAATACAAGTATGTCTTGTTTTAGAGCTTGAACGTGTCCTTAATGTTACCTAACTATCTTTGACTTATCCTACCGATGCACTGCAGCAGACTCCACTTCTTCAAACTGTTCACTTGTTGCCAGATGAGATGTTCTCCCATCACTTTGCGGGGAGGGAACACAGAGGACTTTTTCTGAATTCATTTCTCTCCGTTCCATTCTTTCTCTCCTGATTTCTAAAGGCAAGTGAGTCATGCCAGGCTGATGAAGGCCAAAGTGTAACCACGCACTCGGGAACATAATGATCCTTTTTTAAAAAAAAGTGTTTAGAGCTTCGCGTTCTGACCTTCACTCTTTGTGTTTTTCCATCCAGGTTAACAGAAAATATGAGGCGACTCAGTGAGTACTCAAAACACACACAAACACACACTACAAAGGGAGTACAGTTTAAACACTTAATCTGTTGTGAGTACAACATTCATTTTTGAGTATGGATATTGTACCCTGCTTCTGTACATGATTTTCCAATACACACTTTGACTTTGCATTGACTTTGCACACTTAAAGTACAATTTGTCCACCCATGACAAAATACAAAAGGTACTGATTGTACAATTTTCCAGAAAGATCACACCTTGAAAGCTGTCTTTAAAGGCAGGAAAAAGACAAAAACAGGCTCAGTGCCACTTTGAATTTGTCCTAAACGACACTATCCCTCTTTTTCAGAGCGAGGAGCCAGACCTGTCACCAACTTCTTGAGGAACCTCTCCGCCTTATCCAATTGGCACTCCGTCTACACCTCAGCTATTGCCTTCATAGTGAGTGTGCTCCATCACATGACTGTACTCTGTTTAACTCTGTGCTGCATTGATCAGCGTTCCACTCTCTACAGTATGTCTATAAATTGACCGATGACCATATTTGGTAGTACATGACAGTGAAATAAAAAGCGTGTCTTTATGCTCCCAGCTGATGTATTACAGTGGATGTGCCCCGGACCGCAGAGAGGTCTAATCAGATCTCTATTAATGTCAGTGAATACGCTAAATCATCTTTAACACATTTTATTATGGCCATACATGCAATGAGGACAGAGGACATCTTTGTATTTAGAGATGATCTCACTTTAGTGTTAACAGATGGCTCTAATAGGGTTCTCCAACAGCATGAGATAAAGTCGATGTCTTAAATAAGACGAGATAAAGCTTTATTGATCCCCGTAGGAAGATTCAAGTCTAAGTGCAGCCACAGAAGTAGGAGTGAAACACCGGATAAGACTACTGTACACACAAGGATAATAATAATACATTTAAATACAAATGTATGTTAAAAGTATCTATTAAAATAAGGTAAAACTGTTACATATGTAAACTGTTTTCCCTTTTGCCTGCAGATCTACATGAATGCTGCTTGGCATGGCTGGGCCATTCCCATGTTACTCTTCCTGGCTATCCTGCGCTTGTCCTTAAATTACCTCATTGCCAGGTAAAAACTTTTCTCATCTCTGGATACGCAAATATTAGAGAATAACAGCAATTATGCCTGTTTGAATAGATGGCCATGGCTGGTTGGACAATGGTTCAGCTGTGAGAAGGAGTTATGTAATAAAAGTCTATCACTATTGGTGAACAGATGCACACAGCAGACCTCTTTTAAATGTGTGAGCTACGTACAAACATAAGTCTAACACAGCAAATATATTCTGAGCAGATTTTAAAAACATGCACACATGCCACACGTGCATTACTATTGTAGCTACAGCAAAAAAGGTCAACTTGTATGTGCCCACAGCCAAATATAGATATTATAAACCAATAAAAACGTCAAAGAAATAGTTTGAAAAGGGGAATTTAGGTGATCACTACGAAATGAGGGCAGATCAGTAAACTGGGACACCTGGACGCCTTAAACAGATGATGGCTGAAAGGATGTTGGCACTGTAGAGACTGGAAAGTAGTGTTTGGCCTATTTTAATCCAAACTAAACCTCTTACACTTCTTCTTATTTCCAGAGGTTGGAGGATCCAGTGGAGCATTGTGCCTGAGGTCTCTGAACCCACGGTAAGACCACTTCCTGTTTCTGTGTGTCAGGAGATAAACATGTATTAGTGGAGGTTAATATGTAATGGTACGAACCGTTCTCTTGCAGGAGCCTCCGAAGGAAGACTTGACTGTATCGGAGAAGTTCCAGCTAGTACTTGATGTCGCACAAAAAGCACAGGTACAACACGGCCTTATAATACTTCCTAAATCACTAATGGTTAAATGGCACCAGGTCATGCAGTGTTGATCTCTCCTTACAGAACCTGTTTGGGAAAATGTCAGATGTTTTGGAGAAGATAAAAAAGTAAGTCCCATAAAATCTAATGGTGTAGGATTATACTTAAAGGTAGATCCATTGACTTATTTATCTTCTTGCTTTGTCTGTGTGCTTTTATCTACAGCCTGTTCATGTGGGTGCAGCCGGAGAGCACCCGGAAACTTTACATCTGCCTGTGGGTGGCTTTCATCACCTCCTGCGTCCTTCCATACAAACTAATGGGCTTCATGATGGGTGAGACACACACAGAGCTTCACTGTCCTTCTGGCATACTGTACTGTACACACTGCTTTGGCCCTTTAACATAATGCAAGTTGTTCCACTCAATCCAGTGCACACAAACAAATGCATTCATGCAACCCTTGTGTAACTGCCCCCCCCCCCTTCCTGTGAGGGGCAGCTGCAGGCTAATGGCATGCCTATGTGACAATATAAGTTACTGCTTCTGCTTGTAAACAAAGCCTTCCTCAAGCACAAGGGGGTTGTAGCTCGTTGGAAGATGCTTAAAGCTAAAATAACTGTTCATGCTCATTATCACTTCTCATATTAGGCCTAAACACTCTCTGTTTTGTAAATGATGCAAATTTGTAACCCAATTTGGCGGTTTGTCACCATCACATTTGAGAGGTATCTTTAGGTTGATGGGTCCATTTTGGATTGATTAACCTGAAATGTGTTACAAACATTTTCCAGAATCCTACAGGCTTCAATGATTTTATAACTTCTCCTCCAGCACCACCACGAGGTAGAAAAGCGTATGTCTACTAAACATGGCGTCGATGATCCAATCCCTTAAACACTAGATTACATCACAAATGGAAGCTTTTTCCCTCAGTTACCTGGTTGAACCATTCATCATGATGACAGCCGCCTGCCCCCCCCACCATACACAACCTCTTACCCCTGGATACCCAGTGACTGACATTTGAATTACACATATTTAGTTTACCGACTGTAAATACATTGAATATTATTTACCTAAGACCATTGTTTTAGGGAGTCTTTTTACACTGTTAGGACACCATTTAAGACGTCTGCTCTTTGTAAAAATGTTTGAATGTTCTCTCTTCAATGCTCTCTCTCCTCTCCAGGCCTGTATGCCGGCATCAAGTTCTTCATCATAGACTTCCTGTTTAAGAGCTGTCCGAAGCTGCGGGACAAGTACGACACGCCGTTCATCGTGTGGAACAGCCTTCCCACAGACCCTCAGCTCAAAGAGAGGACCAACGCCACGGTGTCCCGGCGGGTAAGGGCACTGACACACACGCACGCACACACACACAACACACACATCTGTATCTTTGCCGTCCCTTCTTCTACATTGTATCCTTTTTGTTTTCTGATACTAACTCTGAAGTGACTTGTACAACACAGCTTAGTCTGGATCCTGTCTGAGAGAAAGTATGTTGAAAATACATGAGGATTATTATGGCTACGTTACAAAAAAACATCACCCTTGTAATTTTTGTAACTGTTTAAAAGGGAAACGAGGAATTATTTTTGAAATTGTTCAGATAGGGGAACCAACAACAATCCGATCAGTTCTGGGTTATAAGATCCACCGAATTCTAGCTAGCAACAACGTAGGAAAATGTTATATGTCAAAATAAGCATTTGAGCAAAATGTTCCTTTACTGCAAATTGTTTATATCATTTTTATCTTCAATGTTGGTAATTGATAAGCTATTAGAAAAGTAAAGTAAGACGTAAACAGCTGTAGGTCAGGTTACATTATTTATGTCGGCAAGATTCCACCTACTGAAGTACAAATCTGCCCCCCACCCTCACCCCCCTTAGAGCCGGGGCAAGGACATCAATAAAGTATCAAAATACCCTCACTCCGATCGTTAATAATACATTACAGCCGAGCCACTGACGTGTGTGTGTGTGTCATGTGTAGGATAGAGTGTTTGAGCCTCTGTCACAGGTGTGCTCTGTCCTTTCTCTCTCTCAGCTCTCTGGCATTGAGAAGGTAGGGACTCTGGTGTGTCTCCCTTTGGTTCCTCTGCTGCGCCCGGGGGTGCTGCAAGCTCACCTCAAAGCGCGCCCTTTGTGTGTGTGTGTGAGTGTGTGTGCGAGTTGTGTGACACTCCTCGGGACTGGCCGTCAGTGTTTGTGGACAGAATGGATCAAAATGTCACAATAACTTTTATTTTTTTGTATTCATCATTTTTATTTTATTTTTTGATATTACATTTAATTACTCATCCATTTGCAAAGTTATTAAAAAACAATTTTCAGATTGTTGACATGTTTTGATCCATTGACATAGATGCTCTGTGAGAATTAGCAGTGTGTCTCCTGATTAGCTCAAATGCACATAGCGTAGCCTCTTTTCCAACGTAATTCCCTATTAGCTGATTCAATCCCTCCCTTTCCATTACACATAGTGACAAACCCTATGACCTCATTTATTTAAGTCTCTTTTTTTAAATGTCTATTTTCACTGAAACACTTACTATAGAAAAGGACTGGATAAAAAAGGATTTCTCTGACAATGTAAGGGGTACATCTTGAGTTTATTTATGTTTCTTCCACATACTAACAAATATGTTTTGCCTATAAACTGTTGCTGTGTATGCTGAGTGAATGATGACCCACTCTCTGCTTTGCACGTCACACCTGAGCCTGCTGCAAAGAAGTGCACATGCAGAGCAGCACATAATGCAAATACTGAAAGTAGAGCTGTCTTCATTTTGGCCACGTTTGTCAATAGATCTGGGAACATGTAGAGTAATGTGTGGAGAGTTTAATATCCCTGTCCTTCCTCTTTCCCTTCATCATTCTTCATCCTCTCCCACGTGCCCTTCGTCTCCCCTTCATGGTGTTTTTATTTTTCATCTTGTCTGTTATTTTATGTTTGTTTTTCTCCTTTCCCTCCTCCTCCTCCTCCTCCTCTTCCTCCATCTCTCCTCAGATTCAGCCGGTGGTTTCTCGCAGCAGCCTCGCCACGGTCCCGTGCGGGCTGAGCAGAGAGGAGGACACGGGGAGCGCCCGCAGCACCAAGAAGGGAGCCTTCCACGAGATCTTCAGCCTGCTGGAGTCAGAGCGCCCCCTGGCGGGTGAGGGGTCTCGCTGCAGAACCAAATAAACATGTGCCAGTTTTCATTTGAGTGTACCATTTATTCACAGCTCTGCATTTCATTTTGCTCAACACAGGTTTTATTTAAAAATATATATATATTATAATTTTTTTCATCAGTAGAATACTTTATTTATTCTAGGATAAATCCAGGAAATGTGGGTTTTGTGACTATGTTATATGTAAATAAAAAGTAAAATACAAGGGTTTGCAATAAAAAGATAAAATAATATAGAATAAAGATACTTATGGACCTGAGAAGTTAAAAGCTAAAGGTCCAATACTAGATCAAATGGAATAGAATCAAATATTTATATAAACATTAGAAGTTAAAGTAAAAATATGCACATTGCACTGCAATATTTAACATGTGTGTTACAATATATACAGTGTGGTATTAGTATTAACAAGATATTAATGCTGTTATTGTACAGGCTGCTGATGGGACCACTAGGTCCAACTACTTCAGAATATGTAAAATAAGTAAATAACAAGCGCTTCGAGATTTGTCTTAGCAGATGAGAAGCGCTATATAAATTTAATTTATTATTAACAAAAATATATAACGGCTTTTTGTGTGTCAATTAAGTTGAGAAAGTGGGATAAATAGGGAAGGAAAAGTAACTGTTACAAAAACTGACTATGAGATAAAAGACAGACATATCTGACTTACGTGAAATTTGTTTACAATCCAAACTTGAATATAAAAGTAGGGCTATATCGTATCTCCAGATATTTTAGAGAACCACGGCAGATCTTTTTAATCCCTCCAGGTTTCTCCTTCAGGTTATACACTATCTTTTCATTAGGTGCACACAATGCTAATTCACAAGTCCTTCTAGCAAATGTAGGTGGATGTTCATCTTTCCATTGCACTGCTACGCATTTGTTGGCTGTGATACGGGCTAAAGACATGGAGATGCACAGAACATATGAACATATTTCTTAAGCATGATTTTAAAATCACGTGTCATAAATATCTGTGTTTACAGTGTGTGAGAACGGCTGGAGGTGCTGCCTGATAAACAGAGACAGGAAGATGCCCACAGACTACATCAGGAATGGAGTGCTCTACGTCACCGAGAAGTAAGTAGGGGACTTACAGTATATCAGGGAAGCATCCTTTTCATTTAGTCAATGACTGCATGGTAAAATAATAAGATGCTCCTGAAGGTGTAGGTGCCTGAAAGTTGAGCTTCAACAAATCTCCATCTCTGTCAGTCAGCAGTGGATCCAGTAGGACAGCCCTCCTCCTGAGAATATCTCTGATCTTTAAATCTCCTCTCCTCCTCTACTGACAGGAAGCCCATGTTTGTCTTCCTCTTTTCCACTCACAGCTTGCTACGTTTTATCTCTTTCTCTCCCTCAGTTACCTGTGCTTTGAGAGCTCCAGCTCCAGATCCAGCTCCTCTAAGAAGAATAAGGTTATCAAGCTGGTGGACATCACTGACATACAAAAGGTACACCCTAAAACACATTATGTAACATGAAATAGGAATTATTATTTTCATTGTACAATATAAGGAGGTAAATATGATAATAACCCTCTTTGTGAACTCCCCCAGTACAAAGTGCTGTCCGTCCTACCAGGAAGTGGGATGGGCATCTCCATAGCTACTCCTTCCACTCAGAAGGTACAGTTTGCAATGACTGCTGCTTTATGTGCCCTAGCTCATATTATTAGCATTTCTACTTTTGAAAACATCGTCCTCTTTGAATAACAATACTGGTATTCCAAATGTTGAACAGCCATTCTCATTCATCTAGCATTTCATTCATTTATGATTGGAAGTTAAGCTAATCTTTTTGATGTAGCTTCAAGATATTGGCAATTTTTCCAACACAATTGTAGTATAAAGGTATGGCAAAATGCACTATATCATAATAGACCAAAAGTTGAATGGAGTGGACACTTCCCACACTCAGTGGTCTCCACCTTAGCTTCGTAACGGGATTTATTGCTGTTGTGGTGAACCCAGCATTATACAAATTAAAGTTATACATATGTGTTTTTTTTTTACTATTCAAGTAACAAAACACTATACTGGTGTCGAGAACTCTGAATTGTATAGGGCTAAATGAGCAGAGTGTAAAGATCAGGTGTAGGAACAATTGTTTTACTAGCTCGCTAACAGCGGCAATCGCCACTTCCTGTGAGGGCAAAGCTGCCGTGTGTGATTTACACAGGTGGGAGTAAGTCATACATGTGCAAGTCATGAGCAAGTCTTAACCTACAAGTCTCAAGCAAGTCCCACGTCACTGTGGTGAGAGTCAAGCAAGTCAAGTCATTGCTCAGGTCAAGCAAGTCACAAGTTAAGTCATACGAAATTCTGATGAATAACCCCAGTTTCCGCATTTAAATCAGTTAAAATATTGTGGTTATGAAAAGTTTAGTTTTATTTTCAAGATAAACAGCAATGGAGAGTGGGGCGCTGAAAGTTCTAAAAGGGCTCTAAAGTGATAACAGGAGTACAACACAAATATTTTTACATCAACATGTTAAGCCTCCTGCCCTGGCTCCCCTTCAGCAGGGTCACAGCATTCCTCCATGGTCTATCTAAGGTGCTCCCATATGACACGGTCTCATTGTTTTCCTAACTGTGTCTGTGCACAAAGAAATATTGCATCAAAGCCAATACAACGGAATAGTGTATTAATAATAGTGTATAATAATAATAATAATGTACCAGAGCGCATGATATGTGTTAGTGTGCAGACATTCAGACATTCAGATTAAACACATTTCTTTCATTTGGGAACACCCACATATACATATGGAGTTGGCCAGATGTGTTTAAATTACTGTTCATGGTAATTTGAAAACAAATGCTGTTGTCGGACACACAGAGCTGAGCAGAGCACAAACCCACACACATCATGCGCCTTAGTGACCGGACATCTCCTTCATTGTGTGTGTGTGTGTGTGTGTGTGTGTGTGTGTGTGTGTGTGTGTGTGTGTGTGTGTGTGTGTGTGTGTGTGTGTGTGTGTGTGTGTGTGTGTGTGTGTGTGTGTGTGTGTGTGTGTGTGTGTGTGTGTGTGTGTGTGTGTGTGTGTGTGTGTGTGTGTGTGTGTGTGTGTGTGTGTGTGTGTGTGTGTGTGTGTGTGTGTGTGTGTGTGTGTGTGTGTGTGTGTGTGTGTGTGTGTGTGTGTGTGTGTGTGTGTGTGTGTTTTAGCTGTTCTAATGAAAGTAAACACAGTGAAGGCGTTGCGTAAAAGGCACAGCTCTTTGCGCAAACCAAAACAGCACATGAGATGAAGGGTATAATTTTAGATGAAAATGTTATTAGCTGTGAGCTGGACTAGACAGAGATGTGGTTAATAATGATCCCTGTGCTTTTCTCTTCCCTTCAGCCATTGGTGTTTGGTGCCATGATCCACAGAGACGAGGCTTTCGAGGCCATATTCACCCAGTACATGAAGATCATGACCACCACCAAACCTCCGGCCACCGCCGAGCTCTAGACAGCCCGTATCCCAGCAACAGACCTCCATACTGGGGCTAAAGTGGAGCGGAGAGCCTCCTGAGATTCAACTGGACTAGAACACACTTCTTGAAAAACAAACCCACCACACTCCTCCTCCCTTGGTGGATTTCCTGCTTGGAGGGGACATGCGAGTGTGTGTGTAGCTGGGATGAAGTTACATCACACACTTTGTTGATTGTGTTGGATTAAAAAAAATCCAAGTTCTGAAGAGGAGCGAGGATCGGTGTGGCTTGTGGGGGGGGGAGCTGGTTCTCCTCTCCCACCTCACTGACTGGCTGACTGGATTCCTGACATACTTGTTTCCGTGTTTGCATGTGTGAGTGTGTGCGGGCAGAAATGATGTTCTTAAATAGCGTCAAGTGGCTCTGTTTTTTCTCCTAAATCAAGGAGTGACTTCTACTGTGGTAGGAAGATTTCAAGTAGTGCTCAACTTGGCCGTCAAACAAATATCCTAAAGCAAATAGAAGACAAACAAGAGGTTGTTTTAACTGCCAGACATCTGTAGGAACAAATATGAACATGTTCGCTTTATAAATCAGCGCATAAACAACTACTGATGTTGAAATATTTAGATAGCTGGCTGATCGGTGCCTAGTGGCTTAGCCCGACTAAATTATATGAGTGTGAGGTGTTTTAAAAAAATGTGTATTAGCTGTGAAGTTGTCATTCTGACTGACACAGAGCCTTTCTGTTAGTTTACATTGCTGCTGCTGTCTAATTATTTTTCCTTTTTTTCTAGACACATTTCAGCAGCGACGCTATGTTTTAGTCTTCTCTGTTGAAGTAACAGACAATGTACGCAGCATCCGCTTCGGTGTTCGTAAGTGTGCGTACGTGAAACGTGTCGTGACATTTTTTATTCTTTTAAAAATGCCTTTCTTTTGAAGAAAATGTCTCTTTGTAACAAACAGCCTTTGGGACTGCTGATCCTGGAGCTGCTGATTGCGTCCAAGACGAGAGCACAACCACTGTTAGACGTTTGAAACACTGACTGCCATTTAAAACTAGATCTAAGCTAATCCGCTTCTCTTTTCAAGGCACAATCTGTACATATATAGAGAGATTTTCGTTTTTCTTCTATTGATGGTATTCTCCCTGCACTTTACTAGAACTTTAACTGGATATATGTTGCAGACTCGACTTTAAATGCTCATAAATTCAGCTGGAATCCATGGTCAGTGTTGGCGAATAGTCTCAAACTGCCACTTGTGTTATGTATTTCTCTATTTGTTTGTCAACTTGAGCCAGTAGCTCTCACATCCTGCTAGTCTCAGTGCAGAGTAAAGGAGCACTGTATTAGTACACAGATAGCCAGGAAACCTTCAAACTGACCATAAAAGAACAAGGTACTTGAATGAAATGAAACCACTGGTTTATGTTCCGCTTAGTCCTCTAAAACATTGAGTTATTTTAGCCTTTGAATTATAAATCAAACCTTAGATATCCATATGAATCTTTCCGATTTCACTTGCATAAATACACAGGTGGTCAAGCTGCTTGAGGTCACATAAGAAGTAACAAATACTTGTGGATTTATTTGTGTAAATCCATTTAAAAAATCTAAATCTTTTTGCTTTTTTCCCACTTATATGTTATGCCACATGTGTAGGGTGCTCTTCCACTTGTTCCAGATCATTTCAATGTAAGCTTTTTTAAAATATGGATAAAGGTCGAACAGAAAGTCTCAACGTCACTTTATTTTAAAGACGCCGTTCGCGAGAATAAAGCCGGTCTTTACTCTCGCGGAATGGTTTTGATGTGTAGAAATACGATGCCAAATTACATCAGACACGTCTCTGTGTTTTTGGAGAGGGATGGAGATATGATACGGGACTGCAGGTCGTGATTTCTCGTCGGATTTTAGAGACAGAGTAGCTATTCCACTGTACGCCCAGCAGCACAAGCTTTAGTTTCTTATATGTAAATCTTTCAAAAAACACTGTTAAAAAGGGAGACCTTGACTTTTATATTTTTGTTTTATTCCGGTCATTTTTACCCACTGGATACTTCTAAATCACACTCATGAAATTATTATTTCCCGCACTTAAAAATGTCAAGGTTTCTCTCAAAGTCTATACAAGTCCTCTTATCATCATTAGAAGCAAATTAGCTGGATATGAAGTTGCCTTGGAAGCAATGGACCAGTTCATAGAACCACTTTATTATTTTTAGTTAAAACTAATTAAGGATGGAGTATTTTCTTTGACATCCATCTGTTTGATTTGGCCTTTTATGAAGAGGCCGCCTTTCCCAGACATGGATTTTTCTATTTTTGTTGAGGAATAAATTGGATCCATGAGCAGGGGGATATTAGAGCAGGTGAACGCTGTCTCACTGTGTGATTTGATGGCTCGTTGTAGTCTAAAGCTTTTACCTGACGCCTTTTGTAATCTGTTAACTCTGATAGCAGACCCTAACAAGGCTGCGATCAGAAAAGCACAGAATGTATCACGTTAAATGTACAAATATATATTTTTCTTTTGCCAAATCTTTCATTTTCTGTCTGCCATATTCTGCCTAAGCTCATGTTTACAGAATTGTTCTCTTTCTCGTAACCCAGTTTGAATTCCTTTGACTCCGGAGTTATGAAGACTGGACTGCTGTTCTTGAATAAATGACTCTGCTCTCATTGGCTCCTCCACCAGTCACATGACTATTTCTGCTCACCTTTTAACCAATAGAAAAACTTCAATCGTTGCGACAACAAAAGCAGTATTTTAAAACCTCAGTGTGATTTTATTTGTCATATCTAACATCAAAGTACTTAGTAACAGTGTAGTGGAAGTAAAACGTGCTTCATACAGAGCAGATCTGGTCATTGTGGACTGAAACGGCAACATCAGTGTTTTTGACAGTTTGTCTATTGTGACCCCACGAGTGCAGAGAAAAGCAGAAATATTATAAAAGTTCAACATTTTTTTTTAAGAAATCAATGTGTGCATATTACTGTAAGGACACTGGAGAAAGGCTTTAGCTAATTTTAAAGAAATCGTGCGACATTTTGGGAAATGTTAAAGCTAATGCTAGCAGCCGCTTAGCTTAGCAACTGTACTGGCTGTAGCTTAACATGGAAATGTGATAGTTTGTTGTTCAGTTGAAATGTTGTAGTCACTTTTTAGTTATTACTTTTTATCCAAGCTAAATAAGTTCTTGTTTAATTGCATTTCAACACATAAGTCAGAAGGGGTAGGTAAGTTTGAGAAACCGGCTCGAGATACACATTTTGTTATATTTCATGGAATGCTCTTAACATCCCGATAGCTCTTAAGTGCTTTGACAAAAAATCCATACAAACATTTCATCTGTGGAAGCCGTAGTACTGTAAAAAGCACGACCAATCATTTTAGCCGGCCCGTCTAAAATAACTGGATGGCCTACCTGCCTGTCAGCCTTCCATCTGTGCACAAACTTATCTCGTGCCCTCATTGGTCATGTGCGCGTTCGTGTGTGTTGGAGGAGGGGCTCTGGAAGTGGCAGATTTTTTCCGGTTGTGTATTTTAAAATTCTAGCGCACTCGAGCTGGTTTCTCAAAAATTACATACCCCACCTACAGCACTAGCTATTAAAAATGTAAACCTTCGTTATATAATTTTTAAACAGTGAGAGCATTCAAAATATCCACATATTCCATAATAAGTGTTTAGCTTTTATCACACCTGTCTACAAACATTGTTTAACCTGGGATGGTTAAAGGGACATTTTTGTTTCTTAAAGGCCACTAAAAGCAGCACATGTACAATATTAATGTGTGGTCGGACCCAAAGCAGATTCTCACCTCGGTAGCTACATGATTGTTTTTAGAGACATTTAGTTTTTAATAAGCTTTTAACCAATTAACCTTTTTGAATTGACAGCAGCGCTTTCAGTCACCAGTAGGCCTATACGGAGATTCAGTGATACAAATGAGTGTATATTAGCTTAAAAATACTAGAAAGCTACGAATGTTTCTCAAAATGTCAAAATATGTTTGAGAGTGTACCTGCTGTTATTAGAACTTGTCAAAAACAGTGGTGTTGTCCTCTAAATGTTCCCCATGTTGAAGCTGCTGTCCTCGCTGTTGTGTTAATGATATTGCTCCTTTAACTGTGTTACTGTTGATTAGGGGGTTTTAAAAGCATTTTAATCATCAAGACCGAGTACAGCACTCACTGTACCAGAGACACATTGTCTCAAGGCTTCAAACAGCCTAACATAATTTATTTTTATTTTATAGCATTTAAAAATGAATCCTGTCCAGTCCTGTTTTATGGACTGCGTCATAAAACTCGGTACAGTCAGATATTGGAGAAACACTGCAGTCATTACAGCGTTTTATTCGTTTGTCATCTGTGACTTCCTCTTTGTTTTCTCCTTTTCTTTTGTCAAAGAGGAATTTGTATACAAATGATTGAAATGTACAGTGAATAAAACAAAAACCACTGAGTTTTTAAGAGACATGTCTATTGTAAAGGATAATGTGATGTACATTTTTTAATTTAAGTAAATGAATTTAAGGTATTTTTGCTCTTGTGTTTCTCTTTTGTTCAGTTTTAGCTCCTAGCTGCAGTATCTCCACACGACCACAAGAGGTCACTATGAGACCTCGTGACAGGCTCAATCAGCCGGGAGGGTATTTACCATGGATGTATAATAAGAACGGTATTTACTTCCTGACTTCCACAGGGGGGTCAAAAGTCAGGGATAACTGCTTTAGGATATTTCAGTACCTCTGTAGGAATGAAAACGGTGTTTGTTATTCAGTCCTGCCTAACCAAACTTTAATTCTATGTTGATTGGACGGCCAATCAATAAGGAGGAGGATGGAGATGTGTTGGCATTCAGTCTTGCACGTGGCCTCAGGAAACATTTGTTTGGTAAGTGACCAAGCTGAGAACTTCGGTAGTATCTGATACTTCCAATAGCTTGTGGACATAAGTGTACTAAATCCAGTTGAGGACAGGACATAGTTTCCTCGTACACTTTCTATATCGAGCACAGTTTAGCCTTAATGGCACAATTTAAGCTCTACTTGCAGGTAGTCACTGACGGGTTCATTTTATAGTAGTAGACGACATGACGTCAATAAAGCGCTTTCAAGCTGCACAAATGACTCAGAAAAGGAGTCCTGGTTGCATGGTGACATGATGCACAGTATTGCTCTGTGCAGGGGAAAAGATGTGGCTGCACATCAAGTTTATAGTGAGATACATAGTGATAAAATACAAAATTACATGGAGAAAGGCTTGTAGATATGTTTAAATTCAGGTATTTAAAACACAAATTAGGTGAAAGAGTGAAAAAGTATTTGCATTGCTTTTTTTTTATTCAGTTTGATTTCAAGTCACCCGTCATTCATGGGCAGTGTTAGATGAATGTAACATTTTGATTTAGCTTTGATTATTCCAACTAAACTTGCAAATAAGCATTCAACTATTGCAGCAATATCAATGTAAAAGTATTTTTTAACAGAAGAGGCCCGATTATGCCTATGGGGGACTTCCTGCAGTGTGTTTGTGCATGTAAATGGTCTGCAATGGCTAAAATCACAAAATTAATATGTTATATAATGCAGGGTAGCTTAACCTATCATAGTATATCAACATGTATCAGTCAATGTGGAAACACTCAAGTGCAGTGCCTTACATTTTTATTTCAGTAGAGTATTTGAGTAAATGTGCTTAGTAACAGTCCACTGTTGGAGATCTACAACAAAAATCCTATGCTTTAGCTTCAAAAGAACACAAATCAATCGTGGCTCATACACAAGAAACGCAACATTTCATGCTTCACAGGTTTCCTGCAGAGGATCTGTCAAAGCTTAAACGCATACTTTTCCTGATCCTCAGGCACCCCACTCACTGATCTGTGTTGACTTGTGAATATATTCTCTCTGTAACACGCAGAGAGAACCGCTCACATTTTCTCTTTGTTCGTAAACGCACTATTTCCAGACTGAGCGATTGAGGGAGTGTCACAATCCTTCATACAGTTAAAGGCAGTTTGAAGAGCCGCTCTGTCAATGACACCTCACAGTCATCCACCGGCTCCTGTCTCGCCCACTGCTTTGCTTGATGGATTCCGTGTATTTTTAGTCAACCCCAAGGAGACATCGCCAAACGTGGTACCATTTACCATGTGTTCACCATGACTAAATGGTGACACAGTTTGTCTCCTTGTCCTTGTCAGGTATGTGTGATGTGTGCACATTGAACTTATCCTCCTTATCCCATGTGGCGGCTCAATCCCCAGTTACATTTGAGTCGCCGAGAGGCTAAACTTGGCTATAAACTGTGACGCGTTTTTCGAAGAGAAAGTCCATATTGAAGCAATATAGTTTTAAGGATATTTAATAAACAAAATCAAAACATAGTAACTATGGACAAAACGGTCAACAGAAAAACTGACAGCACAAGCTCACCCTCTGTCATCAGCACTCGACATCAAACAGGTGACTTATATAACCAAACCACACCCATGTGACAATTACCGGAAGTGCTCAACAAACAAATAAAGGTGACTTAAACGAATAATACAAATAATGAACTTGAGCCAAGTAGCGTTATGGCACCTACAATACCGGCCCCTAATTATCATTTCACAAAATTATAATTACTATAATAAATGACAATACACACAAAATATAAGTCCAGGTCTCTTTCTTGAATTATTTGTTCAGAGTTCATATACTGCAGTCTTTTGGAAAAGTGATCATCTTTACTCACTAATCAGTATCAGTAAAATGCTTAGTGTGGTTTGTGTGTGTGAAGGGGGTAGGAGACAAAAAATTAAATAGGCAAAAATAGTCCATTTAGACTTGGCAAAAGTCCTCCGACTCCTGAAGAAGGCTAACTTTGTTAATTGGTCTGCTCAAGAAACCAGTCTTGGTCTTGATCCGAAGCATACGCACGAGTCCCTTTTTGTCAACGATGGTCTCAGCAACTTTTCCAGTAAGCCAGGAGTTCCGAGGCGCTGAGTCATCCATAATGATCACGATGTCTCCTGGCGTGAAGTTGCGTCTGATTTTTGACCATTTCTGTCGTTCTTGAAGTAGGGGAAGATATTCTTTAATCCACCTTTTCCAGAATAAGTCTGACATATACTGAACTTGTCTCCACCTGCGGCGAGCGTAAATGTCTTCCTTTTGAAACTGTCCTGGTGGCAGGGATGGTGTTGTCTTAAGGAGCAAAAGATGATTCGGTGTCAGTGCTTCTAGGTCGTTTAGATCTGTAGAAGCTTTGGTGATTGGACGGCTATTGAGAATAGCTTCTGCTTCACATAAGACTGTGTTAAGTCCCTCTTCGTCGAGACTTTGTACATTCAGAGTGGAGTTGAGAACCTTTCGTACTGATCTGATTAATCTTTCCCAAACACCTCCATGATGTGAGCCAGCTGGGGGATGGAAGATCCAATTAATTCCTTTCTGGAGAAGTGTATTGTGGATCTGACCTTGATTCCAACTTTCAATTGCCTCCTTCAACTCTCGTTCGGATCCTACAAAATTAGTGCCATTGTCAGATCTGAGTTCCTTGACTTGACCACGTCTAGCTATAAAGCGCCGTAGCGCATTGATGAATGAATCAGTGTCAAGAGATGATGCCATTTCAAGGTGAATTGCTCTTATTGCTAAGCATGTGAAAATGACGCCATAACGTTTCACAATGCTCCTTCCACGCTTCACTCCAAAGTAGGGATGTCCCGATCACCTTTTTTTGCTCCCGATCCGATTCCGATCATTTGATTTTGACAATCTGCCGATACCGATTTTTCCCGATCCGATCTTTAAGCAATGCATTAAGAGAAAAAAAAGGAGAAAAGCATTCAAGTTGTCCCTTAAACCCCCACGTTCTCCACCACAGATAGCGGCTGGTCATCCAACGCGATGAATTCAGCTATCTTGGCTGTTATTTTTTTGGCCTTTTCACTGTTCTGGGGCAGTTTCTCTTTCCTTTTAAAAGTCTCTGAAAGTGTCGGTTGTTTCAGTGCCGTTACCTGAATGGCCGCTGTGTACTCGTTGTGTTGTTGTTGGTGTTTGTTTCTCAGGTGGCGTATTAGTTTGGTCGTGTTGAACGTAGCTCTGTTCTTTCCACCACGCGGAACCTCCGCCTTGCAAACATTGCATCTGGCTGTTACACTGCCTTCGCTTTCAATTTTATAATACTTCCAAACTCCTGACATTTTCTCTGTCCCGAGTCACCAGCTGAACGTAGCCTCTTGTTAGCTTACTGCTACTATTAGACACTGCGCCCACTCTGTTGCCAGATTTGAGAGAAATAAGCAACCAGGTCTATGAAAACAAGCCCAAAAGAAGCAACACATACATGATGTTGTGTAATTTTAAACCAAAACTAAGGCCTCAGGATGACTTTAAGACGTGAACATGGTCATTTTTGTTTTGTAACATTAAATAAAATAAGAAAAATATTTTATTAAAAAAAAAAAAAAAAAAAAAAAAAAAAAATCCGATCCCAGATTTTTTTCTCCCGATTCCGATCTTTTGAAAATCACGTGATCGGCTCCGATCCCCGATCACGTGATCGGATCGGGACATCTCTACTTCAAAGGGTCCGAAATAATCAACTCCAACATATGTGAATGGAGGTTCATCAGGAGAGACTCTATCCAGGGGCAAATCCGCCATCTGTTGTTGTCCAGGAGTAGCATTTATACGCCGACAGACTACGCATTTCGACAACGTTCTTCTTATTGCTACAGTAGCTCCAGGAATCCAATATTGTTGGCGTAGTCGGGCATGACCCACTTCTTCATGAACATTTCGCAGAATAAGATCGGCAATGTGAAAGTCTTTAGCCACTATGACAGGATGTTTCATATCCTCCGGCATTGCTGCCCGGCTAAGTCGTCCACCAACCCGTAACACATTATTTTCCAGGATGGGGTTGAGTTTATGAAGGTGGCTGGTTTTCTTGACGTTTATTCCTTTTCTCAGATTTGAGATTTCATCGGCGTACCTCTTTCTTTGGCAAAAACAGATTACCTCTATTTCAGCGTTTGCCAGTTCTTCAACTGTGAGACCATTGTTTTCTTGCCTGTCGAGATTCCCTCTCTCCTTTTGTGATAGGCCTCTTTGATGTATGTTATCTGGAATTAGTTGAGCAAGAACAACACTTGCTTGGTTTCTCTTTCTGCTGCGATTCAAAATAAGTCTTTTAAGTCTGAGCATCCATGCTACTGCCCTTTTTAAACCATTCCAAGATGAAAAGTGGTGGATTAATTGGTTGACAGGATCCATTTCCTCAGACATGATCCGAGTAGTGTTAACGGTTATGCTCCTGACTTCAAGGCAAGGCAAGGCAAGGCAAGGCAAGGCAAGTTTATTTATATAGCACCTTTCAACACAAGGTAATTCAAAGTGCTTTACAAAAATGGAAGACATTTTAAAAATGGCATTTAAAATCAGTCATTAAAAAGGAAAGATAATAAAATAAACATTAAAAGAAAAAATACATGGATAAATGTTAAAAGTTACAGTGCAGTTTAAGATGTGAATAGTTCAATTAAAAGCAGCGGCAAAAAGAAAAGTCTTCAGCCTGGATTTAAAAGTAGTAAGAGTTGCAGCGGACCTGCAGGTTTCTGGGAGTTTGTTCCAGATATTCGGAGCATAATAACTGAATGCTGCTTTACCATGTTTAGTTCTGACTCTGGGGACAGAAAGTTGACCAGTCCCTGAAGACCTGAGGGTTCTGGATGGTTCATAATTTAGCAGTAGGTCAGACATGTATTTTGGGCCTAAACCATTCAAAGCTTTATAAACCAGCAACAATATTTTGAAATCTATTCTTTGACACACAGGAAGCCAGTGTAAAGACTTCAGAACAGGAGTGATGTGATCCACTTTCTTAGTGTTAGTGAGGACTCGAGCAGCGGCGTTCTGAATTAGCTGCAGCTTTCTAATAGATTTTTTAGTGAGGCCTGTAAAGACACCATTGCAGTAGTCGAGTCTACTGAAGATAAAAGCATGGACAAGTTTTTCCAAATCCTGCTGTGACATTAGTCCTTTAATCCTAGATATGTTCTTTAGGTGATAGTAGGCTGATTTAGTAACTGTTTTAATGTGACTGTTGAAACTCAGGTCAGAGTCCATGACTACACCTAGATTTCTGGCTTTATCTGTTGTTTTGAACATTGCAGACTGAAGCTCAGCGCTAACTTTTATACGTTCTGCCTTGGCTCCAAAAACCATTACCTCAGTTTTATCTTTGTTTAATTGGAGAAAGTTCTGACACATCCAGTCATTGATTTGTTCAATGCACTTACTCAGTGTTTGAATTGGAGCATAATCTCCTGGTGAAATTGTTACGTAAATTTGTGTGTCATCCGCATAGCTATGGTAACTTATTTTGTTGTTTTTCATTATCTGAGCCAGTGGTAGCATGTAGATGTTAAAGAGAAGAGGCCCCAAGATGGAGCCTTGAGGTACCCCACATGTCATATTTGTCAACTCAGATGTGTATTTACCTATAGAAATAAATTTTTTTCTGTCCTTTAAGTAGGACTCAAACCAATTTAGAACTGTTGCCGAAAGTCCCACCCAGTTTTCTAGTCGGTCTAGTAATATGTTGTGGTCAACAGTGTCAAATGCAGCACTGAGATCTAATAATACTAACACTGAAGTTCTGCCACTGTCTGTGTTTAAGTGGATGTCATTGAAGACCTTTACAAGAGCAGTCTCAGTGCTGTGGTTTGGACGAAATCCTGACTGGAACACATCCAAACAGTTATTTAAATGCAAGAAGTTACTCAACTGTTGAAATACTACTTTTTCAATGATTTTACCTAGAAATGGCAGGTTTGATATTGGCCTGTAATTGTTCATTACTGAGGCATCTAGATTATTCTTTTTTAAGAGCGGTTTAATGACTGCAGTTTTCAGGGCCTCTGGAAAAATACCTGAGTGAAGAGATGTGTTTACTATATGAAGTAGATCTGCGGCCATGCAAGGAAAAACATCTTTGAAAAATCCTGTTGGAATAATATCAAGGCAGCAGGAGGAGGATTTCAGAAGTTGAATAATGTCCTCTAAGTTTTTACCATTAATCTGATGGAATTGTGTCATGGTGTTTGAATTGATATTAGGTGGACATAGGGACAAAACATTTGCTGTACCTGATGTAGAGGCACTGACTGCTTGTCTAATTTTCTGAATTTTGTCAGTGAAGAAGGAGGCAAAATCATTGCACGCCCTGGTGGATAGAAATTCAGAGGCTACTGACACTGGGGGGTTAGTTAGTCTGTCGACGGTAGCAAACAAGGCACGTGCGTTGTTTTTGTTTTTGGTAATGATGTCAGAGAAGAAAGACTGTCGTGCGTTTGTCGTGACTTCAGAGTCCTTTAGTGAGATTACTTTCAATCCATCAGGGTTTTGGGGCCACTCTTCTTGAGGTCGAAGTAGAAACTGAGGTCCGGACAACCAGATTTCTTTCTTCAGAAAATATTTTACAGTCGAACCTCGTGAAGCCATGTCTGCTGGATTGTCTATGGTGTTAACATATCTCCACTGTAGTGCATTTGATACTTTGGCAATTTCCGAAACTCTATTGGCCACAAAGGTTCTGAACCTTGAGGTGTTATTGTTGATGTATTTGAGTACGGAAGTGCTGTCTGTCCAAAATACAGAATCTGATAGTTCCATCTGTAGCTCCCTTCTTAACATGGTGTCTATTCGGCTTGCCATGGTAGCGGCAGTCAGCTCCATGCGAGGGATAGTGGCTGGTTTTAACGGAGCCACTCTTGCTTTTCCCATTACGAATCCACAATGTGAATGGCCAGAGTTGTTCTGCAGAAACAGGTAACTTACAGTTCCATAACCCTCTTCGCAAGCGTCAGCGAAATGATGCAATTGAGCAGATGACACCGTTCCAAAGTCGGTAGGTTTGAAGCTTCTGTCAACCTTGAAGTCTTCCAGCTTATGAAGGTCTTGGGTCCAACTCATCCACTCCCGCACGATAGATTCTGGTAATTTATCGTCCCAGCCAAGCTTTCTCCTACACAAATCTTGCAGGATCTTTTTTGCAGTGAGGACAACTGGTGCCAATATTCCAAGGGGATCATACACTGAACTGACGCTTGAGAGAATCCCCCTTCTTGTGAGCGGCCTATCTTTCAAGATGATTTTGAACTTGAAGACGTCAGACTGAACGCACCATTGTACACCCAGCACTCTCTCCACTGGAAGATTGTCATGGTCCAAATACAGATTTTTTATTTCCTTTGCTCTCTCCATTTCAGGTATGGCAGCCAACACATGCCGACTGTTACTTATCCATTTTGTTAGTAGAAAGCCTCCCTTGGAACAAGTGGCTCGTAGTTCATGATAAAGGGCTGTTGCCTCTTCTTCTGAAGCTGTTGAAGTGAGACAGTCGTCTACGTAAAAGTTATTCATAATTGTGTTTATGGCTTGAGGGCTGAACTGTTCTAGATTGTCTTCAGCGCATTTCCTAAGGGCAAAATTTGCACAGCTTGGGGATGAGGTTGCTCCGAAGAGATGCACGGTCATTCTATATTCCACCAGGTTCTGACTGCAGTCTCCATCAGGCCACCAGAGGAACCGTAACAAGTCACGGTCTTCACTTGGAACTTTCACTTGGTGAAACATGGCTTCGATGTCTGCAGTGATGACAACAGGATCTTTACGGAATCTAGACAAAACTCCCAGCAAGGTACTGGTCAGATCCGGCCCCTGGAAGAGCTGAGAATTTAGTGAAACTCCCCGAAATGTTGCTCCACAGTCAAACACTACTCGAAGTTTGTTCTTTTGTGGATGCAAAACTCCGTGATGTGGTAGATACCATTTTTTGCCGTCTCTACGTTCCAAGACATGATCCGGTACTTTCTCTGCGTGGCCTTTAGATATCATCTCAGACATAAAGTTGGTATAATCAGAATGAAAGGAAGGATCTCTCTTAAATCTTCTTTTAAGGTTCAGAGTGCGTTGCTCAGCAACACCTTTATTGTCGGGCATGCATATTTCCTTTTCTCTCAATGGTAATCCAATAGAATAATGTCCATTGACTAGGTGGGCAGATTTTGAAACCAGATCCAAGAACTGTTGGTCTTCCCTGGAAGGTTCTTGGTTGTCTCTCCCACATTCGGGAAAGTCAGTCATAAATTGCTGTTCCCACAGCTTGTCAAGTTGCACAACTGATGTTCTGTTTACACTTATTGAAGTTTTGTCCTGAGTATCATCAGGACATCCTCCTAATGGTCCATTAACTGTCCATCCGAGCATGGTTTTTACGGCATAAGGTCCATCCCCCACACTCCTGATTACATCAATAGGTTCAAGGGCCTTTGGAACATCTGAACCAATCAGCAACTCAATTTCAGCGTCAATTTCAGGTAGACAAACATCCCTCAAATGCAACCATTTATTGATGTCGTTTTGACGTGGAATATTTCCTTTGTGCACGGGCATAGTCTTCTGAGTGTATATGCCGGGTAGATCACAAAAGTCGCTGTTATCCAGTCCAGCAACCTCTAGGCCTGACACAATGCTGGTTTCAATGACCTTCCTTTGACCCATAGTTCTCAGCAGAATGTTTGACCTTCTTCCTTGGAGGTTAAGTTTGTTCATAAGGCCTAATGTGCAAAACGAAGCAGTGCTGCCTGGGTCAAGAAATGCATAGGTATGCACTGTTGTGTTCCCCTTTTTGGCTTTCACTTGGACTGGTACTATGGAGAGTTTGCAACCATCTTCACCGGCCCCAGTAAGGCCACCTGTCTGAATTGAGGCTTCAGCAGTGTTTGCAGATGCTTCTTCCATTTCCTCCTGCTCATTTTCCATTTCCTTCCTTTGTTGGTAGATGTGCAACATTCTGGGATGATTTAAATTGCATATGTTGCACCTCATTCGTTTCCTGCAGTCTCTACTTATGTGTCCCTTACACAGGCAGCCAAAACAAAGACCATTTTCTTTAAGAAATGTGATTTTTTTTATGATGTGTCCTCCTTTCTAACTGTGGACACATCTCCAGAGCATGTTCACATCTACAATACAAGCAGTTTTTCACAGCAGACAAAATCCCTTTCTCTACAGTGCTTCTGTCATATTTATTTTCTGTAACTTTCACATTGGTTGCAAAGATGCTTCCTCTTGGATGAGGCTGTGGCCTTCTTATGTCTTTGCTTACGGGAGGGGGGTCTTTAATGTCCCCAAATATGGGATCTGTAGCAATTTTTACTTGCCTTTCAAGGAATTCCACAATATCCTTGAAGGCAGCTCTTTGGTGGTGTTTTTCCTGGATGTCACATGCTACAGTTCTCCATAAATCCCTCAGCCTATATGGAAGTTTCTTTAAAATGGCTAGCATGTTTGCTGGAATGTTGAGCTCAAACATGTAGTTTACATCTTCCATCGCATTGCAACATCCTCTAAGGTAGACCGTGTATGCCTGTAGAGCCCTTGTGTCCTCAGCCCTTATTAATGGCCATGAAAGAGCCCTTTCCATGTATGCTGTAGCAATTTTATGTTCATTGCCAAAGTTCTGTTGTAGTAACCATTTGGCCTTGCTGAATCCACTGTCTGAGGCCATATGTTGGCAACTCCGTACAAGGTCTCTGGGCAGTCCTGTTGTATATTGCTCCAGGTAGTAGAGGCAGTCTCTGGGGTTATTGTTTTTGCTTTCAATATTGAATTCGAAAGATCTCACAAATGTTTGGTACTGAAGTGGGTCACCATTAAACACTGGAATGTCTTTCTTGGGCATGGATGATAGACACTGTTGCTGGATTAATAAAGCTGTTATTTCATTTTGTTTTTCCATGACTGAAAATATATTGCACTTGTCACTGTTGCTTGTGGCAGTTACTGGATCTGGAGATGTTACATGTAGATTTTCATCTAGATTCCTGATGCCTGCATTGGGTGTTAGGGGAGCTGTATCAATGTTAGTGACAGCTCTGTCTGTGGTGGTTATGATTGGTTGTTTTAATGGTACAAACTGTATTTCCCTTTGTCCCGTTTCAAAATATGACTGCATGCCATTGGATGATATAGACAGGTGTGCACATAACTTTTTGAGTGAGTTACTCAGATGAGTACCAGGAGACAGCGTTTGGTACTCACCCCACATGAAGCGTGGTGTTAATAAGTGCAGTCTTCCTCACTGTCCTCCTCAGTGTCTCCTTCACTGTCCTCTATTTACACTTCTTGCATGCTAGATGATGAAGATGATGAAGATGCACCTCCCTGTCTCTTTGTAAGCCTCCAATTTGCTTTCTCCAAAACTTGTTGCCAAAACTGTGAAGTCCTTGCATTTCCTGAGGCCAAGTTGAAGGATCAAATACTAAGAAATTATCACATGACTTGAAGTCATATCTGATTTCAGAGGTGGGAAGTAACAAAGTACACTTATTCAAGTACTGTACTTAGGTACAATTTAAGATACTTGTAGTTTACTTGAGTATTTCTATTTTATGCTACTTTGTACTTCTACTCCACTACAGTTCAGAGGTAAATCATGTACTTTTCTTCCACTACATTTATTTAATACCTTTAGTTACTTTACAGATGTGGATGAATGATGTGAAAATATAATCAAGTGTTAAATCAGACTTTAGTTCCACCTGGAGTAAATCCACAAGCTACCCTGCAGTATACAAAGTAATTCAAACTAATTTTTAAACACTTTAATGATCAATAATTATAAAACATATCATATACATTATTATGAAATGGACCAATCTGCAAAATTACTACTTTTACTGTCGCTACTTTAACTAGATTTTGATGATAATACTTTTCTAATTTTACTTGAGTAACACTTCTTCCACCTCTGTCTGATTTCAAACTCTTCCATTAACAGCCTGAGTAAGTTTGCAGCTGTGTGTTTTACTCCACTTTGTTGTAAATAAAACTGCAGCAGCTTGACCACAGAGCGTGAACGTTGTGATCAGCTGATTTTGCGCAGTTCTCCAGTGTGTGCGCGGGGCACAGAATGTGCACAGGGGAGTCTCCCACCGCAGCCAGTTGACGTAGTTTTGGTACAATTCTGTTGTACACACCGACGTTAACAGCAGCTCCGTCTGTGCATACGGCGACCAACTCTGTCGTCCAGTGATCTAAGCCTCTGCCTCCTGTGAAGCTTCACAGGTCCGTCGGTTATGTCCTGCGCGGCACGGCCAGCACCCAGTTCAATCAGTCATAGAAAGTCTGAAGATTTTAGCAGGGAGCGAAACGGCAAAGTGGCTGCTTAATGTCTTTGTTTTTTTTGGACATGTCTAATAATTTACTCCACTGAGTATTGACAAGAAACATGTGTAGGCGAAATATGTGTTTTGTTTTGATGACCTATCAGGTACGCAAAGGCGCGTTGTGACACAAGTGACGTTACGCATTTCAGATTGTTGCCGCGCATGCGTACCTGCGTACCAGTTATGTGCACCCCTGGATATAGAACAATTAGCTGATCCCCTGGGGGCTGCTAACACTTTCATTTTTGCAATGGTGGCAGCAATGTTTCCTTCCAATTCCATTTGCTCCTTTTTCCTCAATTCCTCCTTTTTCTTCCTCAATTCCTGCTCCTGTGCTTCCAGGATATGTTTGTCCTTTAGGAGTTTTTGGAGTACTTTCATGGCTGCCACTTCGGCCTCAGCTTTTATGTGTGCAGATGCGGTGCTGGAAACTCTTGAGCTTTGCCTGCTTTTTCTGCTACCAATGTTTGATATGCTGTCACCAGGTTGTATATCATCTTGTGTGCATGATGTAGCCTTCATGTTTGACGGGGGAAAGAGAACGTCCTGCTGAGCCTCAGTGTGTTCGAATTGCTCCTTTACATTGGCAGGTGCCTTGTCTGGTAGAATGAGAGGAATATCTGTGTTTATTACATGGCTTAGTTGAATACTCGATTCTGATTGGTCAATTCAGAACACGTGACACGTTGTTAATCCAGAACAGACAGACCGCTGTCAAGGATTTATGACCGTTGTTAAGGACGCTCAAATCTGCAGAAAGAAGTCCGGTCGATTGAACTGTATACAGTTTGGCTGAAAAGCAAACTGCATGCAGTTTGCTTTTCTAACTGACAAGACAAGAGACGCTCAGAAAGAAGTTCGGTCATTTAACTGTTTTTCAAATTTAACAGTTTGAAAAGCAAGCAAACTGTCTGCTTGTCTTTAGTTTTCCGCTGTCGTGTGATAGCAACATGGAGGATTTTAACATTAATTTTAATATATTTGGAGAGCACAGTAATTTGGAGGAATGGTTAGTGGCTGATGAGTCCCCAGTGAAGAAAAGAAAAAGACAAGAGGGACAAGAAAACAGCGGAGGAGTAAGAGAGGCGAAAAGACACCGAGATTTGAATGACAGAGAAATCGACCAAATTGAAGAGGACAGGCATGAATTGAATACAAAACGGAACACATTATGGGCTATGAAACTATTTAAAGACTGGTTGATTGAAAAAAAAGAACCAACAGAGTTTGACAGCTATGGAGCAGCAACCCTGAACACGCAGCTGCGGTCCTTTTATGCAACGGTCCAGACCTCAAACGGCAAAACCTATTCAGTTGCCAGTTACTTGGGCATTAGGGCAGGGATATCAAGAAACTTTCCAAGGTTTGACATTATGAACTGCGCTACGTTTAAAGCAAGCAACGATGTTTTCACATCTGTTGTAAAAAAGCTCCGCAAAAACGGGAAAGACGTCAGCCAGCACCACCCGCCTATCTCAGCTGCGGATTTGCGGCTGCTCAGGGCTTCACAGGCGCTGTCTGTGAACACAGCCGGCGGACTGGTCCGGAAAGTGTGGATGGATGTCCAACTGCATCTTGCCAGAAGAGGCAGAGAGGGAAATCGACATTTGAATCAAAGCTCTTTTATTTTGAAACTTGATGATCACGGATGCGAATATATATCTCTTGCCCACAACGCCGATACCAAAAATCATAAAGATCCAAAAGACACGAATAAAGAGAATGACAGAGGTTTTATTTTCGCCGAGCCTGAAAACCAAAATTGCCCCGTTGCCAGCTTCAAAAAGTATGTTTCCCTGTGCCCATCTGACGCCAAAGCCTTCTACCTTCACCCACTAAAAAAGGACCAACAGCTTCTCAACGGTGAATCAATGTGGTATTCACGTGAGCCCATGGGACATAATTTCCTTGGGCAAATGCTACCCACAATAAGCCAGGCAGCCCAGCTTTCAAAGCGCTACACAAACCATAGCTTGAGAAGCACGGCTGTACAACTGCTCTCTCAGGCTGGTCTTGGATCAAAAGAGATCATGTCTGTGACTGGGCACAGGTGCGAGAGCAGCCTGAAGAGTTATTATGGCGCATTTCCACTACACGGTCGGCCTCGGCCACACTCGGTACGGCTCGGTACGGCTTGGCCGCGTTGGGCCTTAACAGGGCCGACTCACTTCATGCTGCGCTTCCATTACAGTTTAGGAACTGGGGTAGTTACTATAGTAACGCAGTGTAGGCGGAGCCGTGAAGTCATCTTCAATGAGAAATCCAGAAACACAACACAGCCGTTAGCTGTGAGCACTCGGAACTCACAGCTCCTTATATATGTTCAGAAACTCGACAAAAGTTAAACAAGTACACACCACAGACTGCCTGTGTCATGGTGAATACAGTCGCTGCTTTATTTATGTCTGTATAGGCCGTTGTTGTGAGTGTGGACGGTCGGGGCATATACTGCGTTAGCTTAGCCAATCTCCATCTAGAAAAACACGAATTTTAAAAGGTTTTTCGCCTGCCGTCTGTCTGCAGACTTGACAAAGCATTAATTCATGGTTTTTACTAACCGGTATCAGTATGTTGTTACTTCGGCATCATTTTGAAACGTGTATTACAATTAAATCACGGTCAAATATGTCCATCTTGTTGTAGTTCTAGCCCTCTTGCCAGCGCTCCTCTCTCTAGTTTAGCATACTCAGCCCGACTCAGCCCTGTTTGTTGGCCCCGATAGAACCACAATTTTCTAGGGCCAGAAAAGAGGGGAAAAAGTGGCCCCGCGCCGTGCCGCGCCGGAACGAGGCCTAGTGGAAGCACAACCAAAAAAGGGGACGGCACGACACGGCACGCTTAAAGCGAGCTACGCGCTGCAATGGAAATGCGCCATTACTGGGCTCCAACAATAACCGAAAGGGAGAAATGGAGCAACATCCTGTCCTCCAACCCAGGAAATAGCACCACATCGGGTCAGTGCCTCTCCATGTTGTCTGTCCTTACACACACATTAGCGGTAGCGATACAACTGTGGCAATATTGTTTCCCGTTTTTTTACATGTTGGGAATTGTGCTTTCAGATGTGTCATCTGCGAAACCCCCGCAAGGAGAGAGGATCGAGGACAGAAACGTCGATCTCAATATCCCTAAAGATTTCCCATTCACCATGTCACGTTGTACTATTAATGGAAACGTTCAGGTTAATGTTAATTACAGCTAAGGCTAAAATGCTAACATGCACAGAGTTAGTTGCTATCGAAGCAGTTCCTGCCGTTGCAACAGCCTAGTTCAAACATCAACAACGGACTATTTTTCGTAGCGGATGAATGTCATTTTAAATCAGTTACAACTATGTTTTTAATCATTAAAAACATTTTCTAAAACAATAAAAGCATTTCAATTAATATTGGGAGTCATATCGTTACTTTGTTGAGAATGTGGCCATGTAATAAGCGGGATAATGTGCAGCGACTTGGTCATTATGGGTAAAAGAACACCTTCATGCCGATCTAGATCCCTCCGCTTCGCGTCGGGCTCCTGATCAGCCTGTCGGTGTTCTTTTACCCATAATGACCGCGTCGCTGCACATTATCCCTTACTTGCAGCGATTGGTTCATTGGCAGTCACATGACCTGTTTGCAGAAAGGGCCTCCTCCCAGTTTCCAAGAGCCATTGTCGTACATCCTCCATAAAATCATTGTTATGTTTTGTTATTTGTTGAAACCAGTTATTTTGTATTTCCAGGTCGTCTTCGGAAAGCAACATAATAACTGATTCATGTGCTGTTTTTGCATTTTCATATTGATGAATTAATTTGTCCAGTTTGAGTTTAACATCCTTTGCATTTTCATCATTTTTCATTAGATGTTTGATTTCCTGTGTGCGTCCTTTAATCTTCTGCACGTTTGACTGACATTCTTTTTGCAGTTGTTCGATTTTCCAAGCCAAGGCTTTACTAGTAAGCTTGACAGTCCTTTTTTCCATTCCATCGTTTGTGTCACTCATATTTGATGCAATATGTGTGGTGCCTTAGCATTTAAAGTAACACGACAGTGTTCACTGGTATGCAACTTAAACCAGCGGGGCCCGGCCGCCACAGTGTATTTGGAAGTTTTCGAATTGTTTGTTTTGACAAACAATTCGAAAACTTCCGCCGCTCACGGCATAACAAGCACACACCACCGCCGCTCACAGCACATAACAAAACTTCCGCCGCTCACGGCATAATAAACACACAACAAAAGCCAAAGTCCCCAATGGACAAACGGTCACGCTTCCCAAACTGTGTCCAGCAAAAATACACAAGAAAGGAAATAATCGTGCCTACCGCTTTTAGCTTGTTGTGCGATGCAGTCAATGAGTGTCCATCAGTGAGTCCTCGTGGCTACTCCAATCCATATCGATTAGGGAAAAACGGTCCGAAGGTTCCAAAGGTACAGAATGTTAAATCCGTTATCCGAAGCGTCCAAGCGATCCGTAAGCTTAGGAAGCCGGCCGGTCCGTCCAGTTCGGTCTCTGATGGGAATCACCGAGTTTTTTCTGTTGACTTAATGTGGCGGCTCAATCCCCAGTTACATTTGAGTCGCCGAGAGGCTAAACTTGGCTATAAACTGTGACGCGTTTTTCGAAGAGAAAGTCCATATTGAAGCAATATAGTTTTAAGGATATTTAATAAACAAAATCAAAACATAGTAACTATGGACAAAACGGTCAACAGAAAAACTGACAGCACAAGCTCACCCTCTGTCATCAGCACTCGACATCAAACAGGTGACTTATATAACCAAACCACACCCATGTGACAATTACCGGAAGTGCTCAACAAACAAATAAAGGTGACTTAAACGAATAATAATAATACAAATAATGAACTTGAGCCAAGTAGCGTTATGGCACCTACATCCCATTTGCATTGAATCTATAAGCTTGGGCATGAAGTCACTAAGGGTAAAGAGGTTATATTATGCTCATGTTCAGGTTCATATTTGTATTTTGTTCCTCTACTGTGACATGTCTCCATGCTTTAATGTCACAAAGGTCTTTATTTTTCTCATACTGCCTGTGCTGCTGAGCCTCTTTTAAGACGTCTCTGTTGTGAACCGCTTAGAGATGATGTACAATGTGTTGGAGCGCTAGCCAATAGAAAAGGCGAGTGTTACGTAGTGATGTCACTATGTTAAGGAAGTAAACAAAGGAGTCCAATGGAAGCATTTCAGGCACGGGAGAGTGTGTGCGTTTGTGTCTGTCCAGTGTTTGTGTGGGTGGGTGTGTGTTTTTACATCTTCAAATTATCCTTGTACGTTTTGACTAGGCCTGAGAAGGCAACCAAGATATTACATTTTACAAGTCTTTATTTCTACAACCTTCATGGTCATCCAAACCTCTTAATCCCTACCTGC